CCGTGCTTCCAACAAAACGTGAAACAATTCAATTCATGGCTCCTCTTAGGTCTTTATGTCTTTCATGGCTCCTCTCCTACCAAACCGCTGCCCGGTGTCCACCGGCCGTTGAAGGACTCCGCTGGCGCGCTGCGTCCAGCAGGCTTCGGGCCACCGCTTTGACGGAGGCCTGGCTTTGCTGGGGAGAAGGATGAGCAGGCCGACATGAAGGGACACCCACCCAAATAGTCACTATAGGCATCCAAGGGAACATGGCACACTGACTGGCACACTGTACACTTCATCGTCACTCTCTTCAATCCACTTCAGTGGCCCATGACATTCCGTTTCCAGCTGCCTCTGCCAGCTGTGCCTCCACGGGCACCGCCTGTGCCACCGGCGCCACCCGCGCCGGCGTGGCCGGCGCCGGCGTGGCCGAGACGACCGAAGCCTTGGAGGGCGGCCGGCGCAGCGGCGGATGGAAGGCGCCACGGCGGCGGAACTCCTCCAGCAGCTCATCCAAGCGAGTGAGGCCTAAAAGGCGCAGAAACACAGGGGGCAGGTGTTCCAAATCATGTGAAACTGTTGTTTTGAAATCATCACCCATTTTGCGTGGACATGTCAATTGTGGGAGGTGGAGAGTCCCAGCTTCCGGAGCAGAAACCCTATTCTTGGACTAGATGACCTGCAGCGTTCTGCATACTCATTTTATTGCTGTGGTCGAAATCATTTCTGTTGTTTCACGTCGTTTGTTGAGGTTCAGCACAATGTGAAGGTAGTCATGCTTGCACACGGGCTGCTAAAGCACCATTCTGCGGCCAAATTACTAAAGAACAGTTTGGCAAGTTATATAACAAAAATTCAAAGAACATGTGAACAATTCCAATGAAAAGGCGTCCAAAATCTTCCAAAGTTCTCCTAGCTCAAATGCTTGCGACATGACAATTGTGACAAGTCCACCAACCAGCGCCTGTGCCAAAGATTTCCACCAGTACTTGATGGCTCAAGGCCTTCAGATAAAGACCGGGTTCGAACAATTCTTCATCTCTAGGTTGATTAACCCACAAGGTTCTTCTGGTTCCTATGTCACGTCCTGTGAGAGCCCTTCCGCTGTGATCCCTCAAATGTGATGTTGCTCATTCTGATCCACTTCTCGTTCGATCCCATTCATCCCACACAGCGCCAAGCTTCGTTCGGTCAAGTCCATGAGCCTCTCCCCCAAGGACGTGGCCATCGACCGGGCCTTTGGACGACTCCCGTTCGACGCATCGCCCAGAATGGAGTCCAGCTTGGCGGAGACGGCCGAGACCTGAGCGTGGCGCAAACGACATAAAACAAGCAAAGGCAAATGAAGGTACATAGTCCACGGGTTGGTATTTGGATGTCAGGTGAACCCTGGCAAACGGCCACCAGGAGGTGTTTGCTCCGGGTCGCGACGTCGGGCGAGCAATGAAGGATGGTGAGGCAGTCGTGCTGTCTACATACTGTTGGGTTTAATGTTATGATGAGGGGACTGCTGGGACTGTTGAGTGCATGTTACATCAAAAAAATTGAAAAATGAGACGATGAGGCTCATCTTTGGGAAAACCTGACGGAGTTCTCTGGAGGGGGACAAAGTCATGGGCCTGACGAACTACGTATTTTGTCAGGCCCCAAGCTACGGTGGATCAAATGGACCATGCCGGCATGAAAACAATGCAACGTCCAATCCCTATAAATGTATCAAACACACAGACACTTAGAAGGAAGCTCGCAAGAGCATATTGCAGGTTCAATCCAGAGTGCATTCTGCATTAACCGACAAACCCTTGACCTCAAAAACAGACCTTACAGGTCAAAACTGTTTCTGCGTCACAGATATCTTTCGATAATATATATGTACGTAAATCAAAGGGTGAAAAACCTCCTGCTGTAGTATAGAGAAGCAAGGAAAAAAAACACCTGCTGTTAAATGAGCGAAACGAAGGAAGCGCTCATAGCGGTAGTGACAAAGAAAGAGAACCGACAAACAAGTCTGCCGACGAACTCTGCCTCCAGTTTCCAGTTTGCGAGCAACGCAAGGGAATCGCAGTGAGAGTGAGAGTGAGAGTGAGAGTGCGAGTGAGGGTGAGTGAATGAGAGTGAGTGTGAGTGCATGTGTGAGTGAGAGTAAGAGTGAAGGTGGGTGCGAGTGAGTGTGGGTGAGAGTGAGTGAGTGTGAGTGCGAGTGTGAGTGAGAGTGAGATTGAGTGTGAGAGTGAGTGTGGGTGAGTGAGTGTGCGTGTGCGTGTGAGTGCAAGTGTGAGTGAGAGCGAGTGAGAGTCTGCGTGGGTGTGAGCGTGAGGAGTGTGAGTGTGAGAGTGGGAGAGTGAGTGGGAGAGTGAATGAGTGAGTGAGTGAGTGACTGACTGACTGACTGACTGAGAGTGAGAGTGAGAGTGAGAGTGAGAGTGAGAGTGAGAGTGAGTGGGGGTGAGTGTGGGTGAGAATGAGTGTGAGTGAGAGTGAGTGCGAGTGAGAGTGGGAGAGTGAGTGCGAGCGCGAGTGTGAGTGAGAGTGGGAGTGTCACCAAGCGCCCAAGCGCTGTGCCTGCCACGAAATCTGCACTTCGAGGTTCACCAAGTGCTGCGCCTGCCACGAACTCTGCACTTCGAGGTTCACCAAGTGCTGCACCTGCCACGAAATCTGCACATCGAGGGTCACAGAATGCTGTGCCTGCCACGAAATCTGCAAACGAGCCACAGAAAAGTGCATTTCGAAGCAAGACAGCTCCGATCCCTTGCGCCTGTCACGAAAAGTCGACTTTGGAGCACCAAAACACGAGGTTTCCCTTGCACCTGCCACGAAAAATGACCACCGTGTACCAAAATGCGCACGGCGCCACAACGAGAACGCAGTCGCAGAAGCACCCGCCGCCGGCAGGCAGATTTTGCGAGCCTGCGCGTACTGTAAATAGATGTAAATAGCAGCGAATTGGCCGGAGACGCCCGCGGGGAACAGCGATCTAAGTACACCTGCTTTTCACTTACCGTAAGAACCCCTCACTGTGCCCACACTGTTTGAAAAAAGGAAAAGAAAAAGCAAAACGAAGAGGGCAAGAGAGAAAGATAGGTGAGAGAGAGAGAGAGAAAAAAACACACAGAAAGAGCCAAACGAAGAGGGCAAGAAAGAAAAATAGGAGTAGTATCGTGCATGTCTGCCGCACGAGCGGCAAATTACGGGGTCAAAGCCTGATTAGCCACCTAACAAGCCTTAGAAAAGAAATAAAAATACAGAAAGAGCAAAACGAAAAGGGCAAGAGGGAAAGATAGGAGTAGCGAAAAAGGTTTTGACTACTTAGCACTTGGCTACTTAGCCCTTGACTTAAAAAGAAACCTCATTACAAACTTAAAAAGCCTCTAGCGGAAAGGCAGACCTAGAAAGAAAAACGAGCAGGCAAGAGAGAAAGAAACAAAACCTGAGGGGCAGGGAAAGAAGCCAAAAGAACCACCTAACGAGCCTGAAAGAACACCTAAAAAACGAAGAAAGCGCAAGAGAGAAAGCGGGGGCTGCGTGTGTGTGTGTGTACATGGGTGTGTAAGCCGTAAGCCCGGCGGCATTAATTCCGTTAGCTCGGCAGCTTTGTTATCAGTTGATTCATGGGTGAAACAAATCAATCCAACGCTGAGTCGATATGGAAATCACGATGGCTTCGGCGCCCCTGTGACGGGGATCACACTACGCACCCAAGTGGGAAAGCGCAGCAAGACACACTTAGTCAAAGTTTCATCCAGTATCATAATCCACGGAAAGGAATGAGGGAACGGAAAGGTGCAAAGTCAGCTCACTTGAAATGTTGAACATTGGTTGGACTGCACGACAACGTCAGAGGCTCAGCGGTGGCAAGGCTGCAGAAACGGTCTCTTGAAAAGAAAGGTTTTGGGGACTATCATGAAAGGACCATGGAAACAAAAGACAGCGGGAGGAGGTCAACAGTTCAAAATTCAGCAGGTACGTGGATATGGCGTCCCATTTCCATATCCTCGGATACATTGCCAGCTTCGTTGACCGACGATGTATCCTGCCTGGTCCCCTGCATGTTTGAATTCAGACATGCCTGAAAACCCTTGGGGACAGGGGTTGACACACACACACAGAGACAAAAGAAAATCACACACACACACACATCCTCAAAGCCGCCTCAAACATCCTCACGCGCAAAACACCCGTGCAGAACCGCCCGGTCTCCAAACGCCGGGCCTTCTCCAGCAAGGCTTGGCCAATGGGCCCCGAGCTCGTCACCGCCACCCCGCCCAGCGTGGCGGACGCGGCAGGCCCCGCCGGTGCGGGCGCGGTATGAAGACTTCGCCGCAGCGGGCGGCCACCGGGCACGGCGTGCGCCACGCCACCGTCCAGGGCCAAAGCAAAGCGCGAAGGCAGCGTGGCGCGCATGATGTTCTTTGTTTTTTTGGGGGGGGATGTTGTGGGTGCTGCAACATGAGGACTTTAAGGTGTTTTCTCATGTTTTCTCAAGGTGCTGGTGAGATGTTTGCTGGTTAGTTTTCATATCAAAAAGAGATATGCATGGTTTTTGGATGTGATTCTTGCTCGTCACGCAAGTGCTTAGCTAGAAAGGTGCCTATATAGATGGAATCCAAGGGTCTGATGGCTCTAAGTCTTCCTATTGGTGGACACTTTGTGCCATGTTGAGTGGCTGGAAGGTGGCTCAACAGGCCATATATCTCAAGTTGGCGTCTTGATGTTGCCAGTACAACAAAGGAACATCAATTCATCCACTTGACAGTTGAGTGAGGGGAGTCTATGTTGCTGCTTGTTGGCCAAAAACATGTTGGGTCCGCCTATAGCTGTCCAATGAGAGATCCCCTTCTCACGACGCGACGCGATGCTCAGCGTCCGACGCGAAGCGAAAACACGGCTGAGATGGCGTCCATGTTCCAAGAAGGACCAGTGAAAGAGCCCATTGAAACTGGGCTTCCATCGAGAGGGGACTTCAAACATGTTGCCTGCCTTAGGGGCTCTGTTCCATGACTTATTTGCAGTAATTACATCCACTTCTCGGAGAGATCAAGCTTAAAAAGGCTCAACCAAAACCGCAGCCTCTCAACACAGCAACTTCCGGCCTGCGAAGAAGCCACACCCTTTCACAGTCTACTGCCTACTCTGGACCCACATGGCTGTGGGTCAAAACCCGGGCACCCTGGTCGACCACCGAAAATGAACAGATTCCTCTGTAAGGGGTGTCAACCTACCACGGCTTGGTAGGGGAGGTTTTGACCCACAGCATCCAACAACGAACTCTTCATGCCTTGGAACTGACATGTCCATCTCCACCCCGGTACTACCGCAGTCCTCTCCAGTGGCCCAAAATCCCAACCCCCCCAGGGCGCTCCCGGCAGCGTTGGGATCAACGTGATGCCGGCCAGCGTGGGTTCCCCTGAGGAGGGCGAAAGAAGACCGACGCGAAAGCAGGGAATTGGCCCAGGACGAGGGCCGTGACGAGGGAACAGCAAAAGGGCCACCACCAGCACCAGCACCAGCAGCAGCAGCAGCAGCAGCACCAGCAGCAGCCAGCAGCCAGCAGCCAGCAGCCAGCAGCCAGCAGCCAGCAGCAAGCAGCAAGCAGCAAGCAACAAGCAGCAAGCAGCAAGCAACAAGCAACAAGCAACAACAACAGCAACAGCAACCAGCAACAAGCAACAAGCAACAAGCAACAAACACAACAACAACCACAACAACAACAACAACACCAACACCAACAGCAACGGCAGCAACGGCAGCAACGGCAACAGCAACAACGGCAACAACGGCAACAAGCAACAACCACCAACAACCAACAACAACCACAACAACAACATACTTGCAATCTTCCCAGTAGTTGTTTTAAAGCTGGACGCTCTTGTTGTGCTCACTGCAGCAATCTCAGACTCTCTTCATCTTGGCGCCCGATTCCAGCCCTCCGTGCCTGTTGTTCGCCCAGCGGCAACCCCAAAGAGACCTCGGTTGGGGTGGGACCAAAAAGACCTCGGTTGTCATGTCCCAAGCACTCGATGATGTATCCCAAACACGACCTGTCTGGGACTGCCAGTCCGGACGAATCCGATCAGTTGGGGTTGAAAGGGTGTCAATTGATTGCAATGGGACTGGAAGTCCCACAGAGTGTTTATAATGGGTGCATTGGCATGTACATGATTTGGCATGTACAATCCGGTCCAACAGCCAACGTCAGACATGGAGAAGGGATCCCTTCTATAGCCTAGACTCTTCTAGAATAGGCTTGATCGAGGAATCCAAACGTTCGCTCCGGGCTAATCATGAAAGTGGAACGTTTATGAAAATGGCCCCAGGAATGACCGTTTCCTCCATACACATAGGGGTTGTCCACTTCGATGTTTGTTGGAAGGAGGGGGAGTATGTGCAAGTCATGCCAGTACAAACTTCAAGCTCCAATGTCCTTAACGCCCGTCATCCTTACGCATTGATGCTAAGAACACAGTTCTCAGTTCAAAGGGCCGAGGTTATGCCCGTTCAGCCTTTTGAACACCTCCACTCTTTCCGAGCTGCCATTCTCCGTGGCCAATTTCACCAGCTCATGTCCTCACTGGTTGGGTGTCACGTCGGGTGCCACCTTTCACCTCACCTCAAACGGCGGTATTGCATGTGGGAAAACAAGATGTTTTTGAACTGTAGTTTCTGACCAGGAGTCACATGGAGTTGGGTGGTTTTTGGTCCCCAAGTGAGTGGAGTAGCTGGGGACCCCTATCCTCCAAACTCGGCACCCCAACCTGTGACTCCTGGGAAGCGGACTTTGTTCATCATCTTCTAACCCTGTGCTGACCCTTTTGCTGCTTGGACGGCCACAGAGGCGCTGGGGAACCGCCACCCGAAAGTACCCCCAATGAGTTTACAGGGACCCGTCAGGTCATGTCGGGTACATCGAACTGATTGCGGGGTCCGTCAGAAAAAAGACACCGTGTGTGACACGCCATCCAAAGGTTCTCGGAAAAGAACCCCTGGGCCGTCTCGTACCTTCAAGAGGTTCTAAGAAGTCCTCACCAGTCTTTCAGACTCTTTCACAAGTCCACCTCGTCCTCTCTGGTCCAAATAAAAGAGGACACCTCAAGAGCATCTGGCAAACCTGTGGGATCCTGTGGGTAACGCTACGGCTACACCGTACAACCCAAGCTATCCAAAGCTCGTTATGTGAGATCATTCTGATATCGGTGATTTGGACTATTAAAGGGTCAAAAGAAATCCACAGTTTCTCGCTACTAGCGGAGGGCCCTACTAGGAACAAGAAGCTAGCCGTACTACAAGGAGCAAAGGACGCTACTAGTAGCAAGAATGCTTGCTAAACACCTTTCGTCATCCCCCATGTCTACTGTCTCTGCAGCCCTTTGTGTCGTCACTTCGCTGCAACTTGGCTGTGGGGTTGCTCGGCTCCGACCGGTTTGTCCCTACTACCGCTTGGTCCGGGAAACGCTCCCGTGGTCCTTCGCCACATTTCGAGGCCATGCAGCTCTTGCGGCCACCTCCGGTTGTGAACAGGAGGGACTCCTGTCATCCATTCCTTCTTGGTCCCATCAGTTTTCCATGTGGAACACAAATGGGCAGTGTGACTAGCATCTTGAGGCTAAGTTGCTTGATCCCCTTTTCCGATGTTTTGTTAACTTTCCCCCTGAAGTCTTGGTGTAGTATACAGTATGCTGCTTGGGCTTCATGGCGTCCAAAGTGCAGCTTTGTGAGGCAAAATTGCCCAACACTTACATGTCACCTAAGAAGATCCAAGAAGTCTCACCTCAAAGCATGTCCCATCCATGTCTCCGACATAGTCATAGTCATAGTCAAATCCGACAGGTCTGCCTCTCCCACAAGTCTCACCACGTCTCTCACCATGTCTCTTCACCTCTTCGTTTCATCTGGTTTCATCCACCTACTCCACCGCCCAAAAAAGCCATCTGCTCCACCTGCTCCACCACCAAAACCACCCCTCCCGAGCCACCACGCGACGCAACGCGACTCACCTGCCAACACGACGGCGCTGGCGGCCAAGAGGGCGCCCAAGGCCAACAGCAACGGAGGCGCCTCCGGTGACGGCGCGGATCCCACGAGCGGTTTGCGGGACGCGCCGTGGGCACCAGGTGGGTTCCTTTTTGGGCAGTTAGAGCAGGGAAGCTAGTCAGGTGGTCAAGCAACAAAAGAAACATTCAGCAAAAGGAAGTGGAACAGTGAAGGTCTGCGACACAAGAACCACCTCCCTCAAGTTTTTGGGTTCATTTCTAGCTTGGAAGCATGTCCGTAGCCACTCCAACTCTCTTTCATCACCTCTGCTCCAAGTTGATGAACAGCTTATTGTCGAAACCAGCCACACACAGAGTCGCAGCGCAACAAAGCCTGCTCCAGGAAGTGCAAAGAGACAGGCTGGACCTGTAGCGTCGGAGAGTAGAGTGAGTTTGAAGAACATGTCCATTCACCACCTCTTAGTGGACGGTCCTCGCTCGCTCGGCCTGTGGCTCCGTGCTAGACCACGCAGATCGACGATTTGGGGCCACGAAAGGGTCGCCCAGTCTCCCAAGGCATGCCGACCACTCTGGGGTCCGGGGATGGGCCAAGTTGAGAAGGACCGAGGCCGAAGCGTTGGACATCTGTCGCCGCGCGTTGGAGGCGGGCACCACGTTGGCCGCCTCCAACTCCACCGACTTCCGACCAACCCACCGGGTCGTCGGCGAAGCGAGACCGAGGCCAGTGGAGCTCCGGGCTTCCCAGAGTAGAACACGTGATGGTTTTTTGGTACATGAAGGCCCAAGGCTATATGGTGTCCATCTTGGCCAAACCTTTCCAGAACTTCCCATTGAAACCTCCTAAATCAGACGGTTTGTTCCAGAAATTTCCATGCAGCGAACGAGCCACTGGTCGAGCCACAAACACCTGATGTTCCAAACTTTTTCACATCCCTACCGACCTTGGGCCGCTTCACATCTGGCATGGACGCCTCAAATGGAGAGCGAGACAGCAGGGCTTCCAGGCTGCCAGAAAATTGATCTACACAAATTGCCTGGAACGGTCATCAATGATTGGCTGCAATAATGTTGACCTCCTATTTGTAAATGGCCCGTGAATAGTACTAAATCTTTTCAAAAACCAATATTAAATGGCCCTCAAATAGTACTAAATGTTTTCTGGACCTTGATTTTCAGCTGCTTCCAGACCTTGATTCATCCAAGCTGATTCTGAGCTTTCAGCTGATTCCAAAACCTGATTATGTTGTGGTTTCCTTTGCTCTGGAATTTTGATTTGGCTGCTGCATGTTCCTTTAAAAAATGCTTATTTGGGCATTGCAATTTCCAACCTGAAATCAACCCACAA